TGATTCGCAGACGAGGGACCAAGGTGTGCTGTCAGTCTGGAAAGGCCTATCCTCTGGTTCCAAAGGCCTGGATTAAGCCATCCTTTGGGAATTACAAACAGGCAGAGCTTGGGTTCAGCTGTTGAACAGTTTCATGGGCAGCTTGGAAAACTATCCCCAAAGAGAAGGCTCCGTGTCTGGAATGCGGCACAATTCACTGAGCAGCTAACACGTTGCCAACGCTGGTCGAAAGCCCTGGAGATACAACACTGCGTAAAACACTTTCTGCCCACTTGATGCTTCTGTTCAAGAAAGAAGACAGCCAATAGTGAAAGGAACTAATATATGAATAATGCCAGGAAATGATAAATGATATAAATAGAAATGAAGGCGAGGTAGAAGGGCTATTGTGTACAGGGTGGGGTGTTCAGGGAAGACAGTGAGGTGGCATTTGAGCAGAGATCCAGAAACTGAGAAGTGATGGGTGTGGTGAGGGCTGATGGCGTGGGGGGGGGGGAGAGGGGGGCGGCTCGGATGGAGGGGGAGGGGCTAGCACCCACATGCCTGGCTTGTTTGAGGACCTAGGTGTAAATGACTCCTTCAGCTATGGGCCCAGTTTCTCACCTAGACAGTTTATTCACTGCTGTGTCTGTTGAACTCATTTTTCAATATCATCAAAAGAGCGCTAATGTATTAAATAACCTCCCGTGGGCCAAGCTTTGCTAAGCACCTTATGTGTTTTCTGATTCCCTCAGCAACACTGCATGTTAGGTCACTTTCCCCATTTTACAGATGGGGAAACTGAGACTTGCTGCATCCTCTCAGTAACATCCATCCAGTTGTCATCTCCCCCGCTGGGAAAATCCTCTGTTCATGGCTGATTGTTAGGTGCTTGAGGTGCGTGTATTAGGCTGAAAGCACACAGGTCTACAGAAAGATACTAGAGACTTCCATGATAAAATCAAACCTGAAACTGGACGGCCAGCCCTTGACCACTTGTCTAGTTAAACTTCAGGACCAAGGTACTTTGGAGGAACAATTCCTTGGTCTGAACTCACTCTTTGGGCTGCCCCTCTTTAAACTAGCAGAATTTAGGGGCGCCTGGGTGGCGCAGTCGGTTAAGCATCCGACTTCAGCCAGGTCACGATCTCACGGTCCGGGAGTTCGAGCCCCGCGTCAGGCTCTGGGCTGATGGCTCAGAGCCTGGAGCCTGTTTCCGATTCTGTGTCTCCCTCTCTCTCTGCCCCTCCCCCATTCATGCTCTGTCTCTCTCTGTCCCAAAAATAAATAAAAAAAAAAAAAAAACGTTAAAAAAAAAAAAAAAAGATAGGTGCTCTTTTAAAAAAAAAAAAAAAGAAAAAAAAATAAACTAGCAGAATTTAAAATTAGGATAATGGCTTTCCCGTCTCTTTTCCTTCACATCCCCAATTCTTAGCCCAGACATTTCAACCAACAAAGAATCCATACCCTGGAACCTTGGAAATGTATGCTCTGTGTTGACATAAACTTCTTGAAGTTCCAAGGAAATAATGCAGCTGAAGAGGACACAGAAAACCCATACAGAGTAGGGGCACAGTGGGGGAAATCTCCAGAGGCAAGAACTCCTGAAGATTTTTGAGTCTGCACCAAGATGCTTCTGTGGTTCTTGAAACAGCCTTCCTTGTCAGCATCGTTGGGACTTTACAGCCTCCTCCCAGGGATCTTGTTCCCCGTAGCTTTCAACGGGTCCTTTGCACAAGGGTGGAAATTGTGTCTCGCAATTTTGACTGTGGAAAGCAGTCTTTACAGACATCCCTTTCTGTAGCCGCATAAAGGGAAGGGCCTCCTTGGTCAGGAGAATTGCTGTGATTCTTCTAAACCCAGCTCACTCCCACTTCTGCCTTCTGACAGCTGAAGGTTTTCAGGTTCTCTTTTTAGCACAGTTCTTTATAAATTTAAATGAGATGTGCGGTCATGTTACAGAAGGTCTGCCCGCATGGGGGTGGGATGTGCCAGGAACCGTTCTCAGGTTCCCCTTCTAGAATGATGCCGGCCCTCCGGGAGCTCTTACTCTCCATGCCTTTGATTTCCAAGTTTTCTGTCCATGAAATATTTGGTTCTCAGAGCTGCTGGCAGGTGACAATAACAAAAGTGGAACTGATTAGAATTTGAAGTTAGTTGTCAACTCACTACAATTCTAACAAAAAGGACGAGGATGAGCCCTGTGGTCGGTGGTCTTGGGCTCCTCTGAGGTTCCCCCCGCAGGTAACATGGCGCTTCTCCCACCTGGCAGGTGTCATTTGTCAGGAAATAATGTCAGCAAAACAAGTGTTGCCATTTTCCCCCACCTTCTCCTCCTCCTCCTCATAGTGGTTATAATTTCAGAGAAGAAAATGCTCAGGAAGTGATCATTGCAGTCTTGGGTTTACACAGACGGTTGATATAGTTTTGTCCCTCCAAAGGAGGCGCTCCCTTATGGTAACAGTAAACTTGGAGGATCTCAAAGGCTCCTTCTGCTGTGTTAACCCTGTAACTCATTTACAGAGTTGGAGACACTGCTGTGTCAGTGAGGACATCCGTTCACATACGTGTGGCTCTCTGTCTGTCATTGCATGCAAGTTCTGTCTTGTGGGTGAAGTGCCTTCTGCACACCACATTGGCTGGCTGGGGCTTTGCCTTGATTTGAGGCCTCTTTTAGATATAAGAAAGGAAAGGACTTAGGGTCTGCCACAGAAGTGTATCCAAGGTCACGAGGTTCTGGCCTCCCTGCAGTGGGAGGAAGGGACACCCATCAGATCACAGTTTATGACCACAGGGAAGGAGGTCCCCGCTCCCCTGCCGGGAGACGGACCACACTCGGGATTTGTAATCACAGCGATTGCAATGATACAGCAGCAGCTAACCTTTATTGACTATCTGCCAGGCACCGTGTTTTTCCCATTTAATCCTGATCACAACCCTGAGACAGAGACCATGATTATCCCCAGGAAACCAAAGCCCAGCAATTTGCCTGTTGTCACACAACAGTGTGTACGTCCGTATATACACTGGAAATGTCCTCTTTCCTTTCCTGATGAAAACTGCATGAGCCCTGCCTCTCCCCTCCAGCTAAACAACAGTGTCCATTTCCAAATACCCTCCCTGAGCCGCACGAGTTGAGGATCTGTGGAGAGCATCACCTGATACGTTTCTAGCACTGTGCTGGTACGTCTGGATGTGTCCTGTTTCCCACTTTGGAGAGTAAACTCCCAGCCATCAGGGCCCAAGGGGTTCTCCTTCCTAGCTCCCCAACACGTGGTTCAGAGTGTCTCCTAAGTGGTCGGGGTCCCGGCGAGGGATGGTATCTGCTTGTGCAGTGTCACCGGGGAGGCTGTTGATGGCCGATGACGGCTGAGTGCATGCCTCTCTTCTCAGGAAGATCGGTTACCCAGTTTCTTTGCCCAGGAGACATTTCATGCCACTTCTAAAATAAGCGTGGTGGTGACATGGGGCTCAGACGCTCTGCAGGTAGCAGGGGTGAGAGTTGGCAGTCTGATGGAGGAGGAAACCAAACATCGTGAATCACATTCAAAGAGAACGAGCAATCTGGGGCCGTTTAACGTGGGGGCTGGCAACCTCCCATGCCTCGCAGGCCCCGAAGATTTCACTGTGTGGCAGCATTTTGTTATTTATCAAACACATGTGCACAGGTGTGCAGGCACACACACACACACATAATAACTACAATTATGTGCCAGACACGATTCCATCACTGTACTACTCTTAACTTGTTTAATCTTCAGCAACCATGTGAAGTAGGGATAGTTGTCTTCACTGTACAGATGGGGAAACTGAGACGCAGAGAGGTGACTCCGTCAAGACACCAGAGCTAGTCACAGAGCCAGGATTACTGCCCTGTCAGATGGTACAGCCATTCGTTATGATGATGCTCACCCATTAGGACAATGTGAAATATTTGCAGCATCCAGATATTATGACAAAGAATCCTGTAATACGTTTGCGAAATAGTTTCATGCAAAATTGTTTTTTTCTTTGTTCTAGATACTTTCAGGAATAAGTTCCAGTTAAGTAGAGAAATCTGTTTTTAAAGGAATGTATCCCCTCAGAATTTAAATGCATAGTGTGTATTCAGAAAGAAAAAGGTTGAAGGATACAAATACTATTAATACATGACCTTTTACAAAGCCCTTATCTATGATAGTGTGATCTCATGGTGGGCAGGTACTTTTGTTCCTGTGCCGTCTCGAGGGATTACAGACCGAGAAGCTGAATGCTCTGACCAGGACAACCCAGCTGGGGCAGATGTGGAGCCTAAATCCCAGTCCTAACCATGCCTTCATAGAGTGTATAACCCACTAGAGACAGGAGGAAAATGTTCAAAATTGACGACTGTATGTAGTCCTCAAGCCCTCAAGTAACCTGTTTGGGTAGCAAATGAATCAAAAGCATTTTTGCTTTCTTGTGCATCCTACACATACCAAGCATAGTCCCAGATCTGTTATACATAGTTAAGTGGATCTTTGGGGGGGGGGCAGGGATTTAACCCCTGTTTTAATTGGGAGTGGGTTAAAACTACGACATCCCTGGATTATACCATCCCCTTCTGTAAAATTCTAAATTCCAGGCATGGAGATGTAACCATAGAATATGTGCAGCCCCAGCCCCAGACAAAAGTGGCTTGTTCATTGTTTATTTCAGTTTCTCTTATTCATGAGAACTTGGTCTCCTGAATGGTTCGTCCATTTGGTAATTTCTTGGTGAAAGACTGAGTCTTGTATGTGCCTAACATAAGTTCTTACCAATATAAAGTAAGGGCTTATTTGGGACTTGGTAAAACTTCCATGCCTCGAGGCATAGTTCATTTATAAATCCGCCAACAAGCATTTGCACCTTCTCTACCTTGTGCCCAGTAGTCACTGATAAAGCCTGAGTTCTGTTCCAAGGGGACAGACTCGTTGAGAGAAAATTGCCGGTGAGTAACTTGTCTCGGACTCTGCTTTGAATTTCTCACTCACACGCTTTTCTTCTCTTTTCCCCTCAAGGGTCGAGATTACTGTTCGGAAGAAGAGGATATCACATAGCACCAATTCGACCACTCAAACCAGGAGCTACTACTGTGTAAATAAGTTACACCCCAGTTGAAATCTTTGCAAAGGTCGGTTCTCTTCAACGAACAGCACTATAGCAAACGAAGATCGTTCCATATCGTATGCCCCATTAAATTACAGTGTTTCTTAATGAACTTGCAAAGGAATATTGCTAAAAACAAACAAACAAACAAACAGAAAACCGTTCTCGAACTTTCTTTGTTGCTGCTAGTTAAAACTTGTTGCAACTTTTCACTTCTCTTGTGTCCAGGTATGCAGCAAAATTCTGCAATTTCAACTTAAAGATACTGTTGGTTTTACAGATGCTCTCCAACCTATTTTCTATAAGATGAGGTAGTGGTGAACTCAGATATCAAACTCCTGTTGTAGAACTGTTCCGCTTCTAAGACAAGCGTCTCCTTCCCTCTCTCCTCCCTCCCTCCCTGTCTCTCCCGAGCGGTCCAGAGCCTTGCTTCTCACTGGCAGTGTTGCGCTTTGGAGATGGGATGGTTGCTATGGCAAGCTTTGTTTCTCTGCTAAGAAGAAGTAGAGAAGCTCTTATCCATTAAAAGCATGTTGTGACGTGACTCCCAGAGTGATGTGGGAGTGAGCAGCAGGTGTCATTGACTAGGGATCTTAATCAAGGATTAAGCTTGCAACACTGGCTTTGCTCAGATGCAGACGGAAGTGTGATCACAATCATTTTGAATCCCTCTTCCCCACTTTTTTTTCTAAGAAAATAAACATTTTACTGTTTTTATGTATCCTTGTCTTCTCCCATTCATCCAGTTCAGTGTTTCACGATGATCCCGGGCGCAGAAGATGAGCCCTCCTTTGCAGTGACACTGATAATTGACCTTCGTGGCTCCCTGCCCTCCCATCCGTCACCCACCACCCATTAGCAGGCTGTCAGTGGTCAGAAGAGATGAGGGGACACCCCTCGACTTTTTAGGAGGGCCTGAAACCACCCTGTTCCCTTTCATTTCGTTAGCAAATAAGCCATCCTCCGTCCTCACTCTCTCCCTTCAGAATGTTCCATGAACCTTGCCACTTCCTCCTCCTCTTACCTGCAGCACTGGCTAGGACAGTGCAAAGCGTCTGCCTACTGGAAATGTAGCACGTTGACACTGGTGATGATATTTGGAGATGCAGAAGCCAAAGCCCCAGGGCAGTGGTGGGGGAATGTTGACTGTGGGTTTGGTAGAGTTTATTTTTCCATATTATATGAAGAGAATGATCTCTTCTCGAAGACAGAAGTAATATTTTTAACAAATGTTGTCACAAGTAAATAGCAATCAAAAAGGAGAAAATAACTTTTGTATTTTTTTAACGCGTTTGATAGCTTTGATGAGGGTTCTCTTTGTTACTGTCAGGGAAGGGCACCCTATTAAATGCTATGCTAGGTTTGGGTTTGTCCCACAGAAACACAGAAGGAGCACTGGGTGTATCTCTCTCGTGGGGTTTATCAGCCGCACTGCCACCCTCCCAAGGTGGGTAGTTATTTGTCCTGGGTAGCCAAGCAGCACCTGCCACGGAACAGAATCAGAAGCTGAATTTGCACTTGCTGAGGAGATGAGCCTTGTCTTTACAATCCATCCATGTGCTAATGGTGCGAGTCCTTATCTCTGTTTAGACCGAGGGGCACAACAGTGAGGGAGAGGAAACTCAGTCAAGTGCTACAGAAAATGGACTCAAATGTTAGCAACAAAAGCCCTTAATTCTTTCAGCCGACAGCAGCTATTTTGGGGAGCAGCTGTGGTTGTTACATAAATAGAGATGCAGCCAAAATTTAAGGCTTTTTATCCTGCTTCAAGCAGAAAAATGCAGAGAGAGTCAAGTCGCCTAGGGTTCTAAGTTCCCTCCCTTTGTACGGTTTTGGCCAAGTGACTAAAATAGTTTTCTTCCACCGTAAATGAGCTGCTGAGCCCCACCTGAAACCTGTCCATTCGGGACTTGGCCTACTGTTAGATGATTTCCTATTCTTACCAGGCAACAATGATGCTGACACGAAGCATCTTCCCTGTGACTCCTCTGTTTGGTGTCTCAGAGAGTGTCTTCCCAGAAAATCACCGCCTTCTACCCAAAGATAAAACATGCTCGTATCGTTTTTTTCCAGTCATTTTTAACATTTGACATCAGACACATGTACACGGAACTAAGTGTGTCCTGGGAATTTGACTTCTGAGTGTTTCATTAAACTAGAAGCCTGTTCCCATGAACCAGGGCCTCTTCACCTGGAGTTCTGTCTCCTGGGTTTAACTCTTTGATGTGCAGACGTGATTTCATCTGCAGATGAAATCTGCATACACATCGGTGTATCTAGAAATAGATCTGAGAAATGGGGTGGTTGAGTGGGTTGGCATGAGATGCTTGACTATGTTAGCAGCACACAAAGCTTGTCTGTTTTCCATCGTTGGCTTTAATCATAAAAGTGTCAAGTGATTTGTGTTTGTACTTTATTTTTTTTTATGCCTTCTGAAAGGGTCTAATGCAAAAATATTTTGCCTTTCCCCTCCTCCCCCCCCCCCCCCAAGTGTATCTGAACATTAAGCAGATTGTCTCAGATACAATGAAAAGAATCATCCAGAAACTAGTGCTTCAGCTGGCTGAGGACTCGGGGAGATGGAAGGAGGGTGGGTGGGTGGGGAGTGGCCTGGCGGATGGAGGTAGAAAAAGGAAGGATGAGAAATGGACTGAGAAGCTTTTAGCAAAGAGAGTCGATAGCATGGCCAAGTGCCGGATGCAATTCAAAATCCAGCTGCCTGGCGGCCAGTGGGTGGGGCCGACTGCCAACAAGATTTACAGCTGGATTACACACGCTTTATGTGTTCTAAGTTGTGGAGTTGTAAAAGTTCAGCAGTATATGCGCTGCTTTCTTTTGGTTGGCGGAGATTCAAGATTCTGGAGTCCTTGCTGTCATAACTGAATACGCATTTGTTACTGGCAGAGAACCTCAAAAGAAGCTTTTACCTCAGCAATGCCTGCTAGCCCCAGGCTGGAGCATAGAGCCGTGTTATGGTCTATTTAGGGACAAAGAACAGTACAAAGTCCAGAGACGAGGAAACTAGGTCAGCCCTCGGTGGCCACCCACAGGCCCGCTGGGAGACAGGTCTCTCCCCCTCTGCAGAGCCCCTGGTCTGAGACGGGGCGTCTCTGACTCGAATAAGAGATGAGATGAGCTGGTGGAGGAGTAGCCTCAGGTCGTCTGGGCTCTGCACTGGCGCTGCTGCAAGTCAGGGGCGCCCCCAGAGTCCGAAGTGACCCGCCTGTGACCTCAGAGCCCCCAGGAGCAGCCCAGGGACGGTGGCGCCCCCTTCCTGGCCCCATTTGATGCCATCCTGCTTTGAGTTGCACCTCTGTCCTCCTCCCAACCTCATCAAGACTTTCTTCCTCTGAGGGCCAGACTCTCCCATAAGCCCGCTAAAAGCAGAAATTATACCTCTCATGAATTTTACCTCAGAGCCTGTGATGCAGGCCAGCATATTGATTACAAATTCTGCTCAGACATTAGGCAAGGATTTTAAGAGCGCTCCATCCCTACTGGCCTTAGAAAAGAAACTCCGTTAAATATGTTGGTTTCCTAGGAAGAAAAATGATCAAATTCTTAATCCAAGAAAATACTGACTCTGAATCTTGGACTCCGGGACTCTAGCATGTTCTATATGAAAGGCAAAACGATTGGTGTCTAAGGCAGCCTCCCTCCTCCCAACTCCCAAATTAAAAAAAAAAAAAAAAAAAAAGGCATATTAGATTGCACTGTATAATTTTACATAAAATCTGCCTTCCATGCTTCTGCCCCTGGAAGGCATTTTCAGAGCTTTATTTCTTTGTACCTCTCAGAAATAAAGCTTTTTGTTAAGTTGCTTGAAACGCCAGAAGGAAAAGAAGACCGGGTCGAGGAAAGGGAATATATATTTAGAGGCATGATGAAAAGGTGGCAGGAGGCAGGAACATTGGCTTCTGGAAGTCACGTGTGGACTGCTAGACCCCCACGCGCTGGTGTGAAGCTGGATAAGGCTGTCGGCTTTCACGCCTCGGCAACTGTCCTTGCAATAAACCTTTGGAATTTTGTGAATGAGTTGCACGGGTTGCCTTTTGCCAATGGATGGACCTGTTTTTCCAAGGGGAAAATATGTCCTTCAGTCACCTTTATGTGTGTCTCTGGGAAAGGGTCAAAAGGCTACAGCAGAAAATGAAGATGGTGGGTGAATATACTTACTTTTGTGACAAACCTGAAGACTATCTATACCACGTCTTTCAGGAGACTCTTGTACCTTATCTGGGATCTAATCCTAATCTTGGGGAAAGAGGAAAAGGAACTAATATTTATTAATTATACTCAACTCTGTGCCAGATACTGTGCTAGGCATTGTATAATTGTCTCGTATAATCCTCACCATAATCCTGTGAAGCGAATCTGTTCCCCTCGTGTTCTAAGTGTATCATAAGTACAGAATGCATCTATCCAACATAAATGCCCATGTTGAAAGAAGGAAAGATGTCATTCAAGTATTTTCCGAATTTTTTATTATTACTATGCCCTTTGCAACACTGTGAAAACAACCCTTTGAGGGTATCTACCTTCCAGACTCTCTCTTTGGCTCATCACCAGCTAGCTTTGCCATGGGGAATGTTTTCTTTGGCCTTCCCGTATCTGATGAGCTGCCCACAAACAGGAGAGACCACTGGCTAACAGGAGTGTAGGGTCCACAAGAAAAAGGCTTTGGGAATTTAAGCACAGGTCTCTCTTCTTGGAATCCTGACAGCATCTGGAAAAGGAACCTGGGACTTCTGCAGTTAAACACCAGATGCGGCGAGAACAGGCCTTTGAATGCTTGATTTCCTGCCCTGGCTCCGCAGGCTTATTTCATCACAGGCTGCACCATTTTAAGGTGAAAAGCCTTAACCTTGCAGAGAAGTGTGGGAGAATCTGAGCTCCAAAGGTAGAGGGAAGGCCTCGACCATTGACTTACAATCCTTTCTTGTGGGCTAGGTCTTGATGTCTCTTTTTGATGTTTGAACCGGGGTCTGTATTTTCCAGGCTAGTATAAGCACTGAAACTAGATGTGAATCTCTCTCAAGACTTTAATGTTTTGGATAGTCATGTAGTGACTTGAATAGTCATTTAAATAACTTGTCCAAGGTCAGAAGAGCCCAAGAATTCCCCAGAGTTCCTTTCCTTGCTTCTAAAGGCACATCCTCCATAGAAGATGACTCACGTCTCCATGGCAACTGTTAAAGGTGCTGCCTAGAGGGGACCCACCCCTACCCTCACTTGGGTTGAAAGAATCAAAAGAATTTCCTTGTGGAGAGGGGGTGCTAAGTTCAGTTTTCCTGTGAAAACTATCCCCAAGATCTCACCTCCTTCAAACCCGGCAGCTGTCAAATTCCTTCAAGATAACGTGGGAAATGGCTCTTCTCTCTTATGCCAGAGAAATGGCTTTAATTCAGCAAGATTCATTCCTAAACCAAAGGCCTCATTCTAATACTGTCTTCTGCCTCTACCCAGAATTCTCTGTTTTTCCCTTTCTAGGAGTTATTTTTAGTCCAAGGCTTTGAACTTGATTGAGTAAGACTTAGAGGCAGTAAAAAGAACTCCATAAACTCAGCCAGAACTGCCTTAGGGTCCCTAGGATTGAAAATAGCTCTGGCACCTTAGGGACCACTTGGCCTAGACCCAGAGGTGATCGAACAGCCCCTGTGTTTTGGGCATTTCCGTCCAGACCTTCAGGGACTGTTCTTTCTTGACAGTCAAGTGAGCGAGGGAAGGGAAGCTTCACAATAGATTTCAAGCCAGCTTTTCCATTCAAAACAAGATGCAAATTTATTTTTAAAAATTCATATCTATTTCCCTGGAACAGAATCAGGCAGCTGCCTTATTAGGACTCTAAATTTGGATCTATTTTCTTAACACACACACACACACACACACGCTCACATGCACATGCACAAAGATGCATAGAGAAAGAAAATATAACACTTTATCATTGAAATACTTCAAGGAAAAGCTGTATTTTGCTTTTTGTAATCTCTAAGATGACATCTAGGAAAGTATTGGTGTAACTCTAGTAATGACAAAACAGGAAACGCTGGTGATCCCTGTCGTGAAAGTTTGAGTTAGACTGAAACAGAAGGATAGAGGTCTGCTGGTCACCTCACCCTGTGCCCCCTCTGGACCAGGCTGCCCTGCCGCTGACATGTTTGACTTACCTGGGCTTCTAGCCTGGATATCGTGGCTGGCCTCCTTTCCCTATCCGTGGTGCATAAAGGATTCATCCCTCAGGGTATGTGCCTTGTCCAGCCATTTGCATCTACAGCGTTTCCTACACGCTCTCCTGTTCATCCAGCGTGACCTTGACTGGCATTTCGGCAGTTCCACTAGGATGCTCCAACACCAGTGCTGGAGCCCCTTCCTGTAGGATTTGGGGCCCTTCCTCCAGGTTGTCCCAGATGTAGCATGTTTAGCATTGCCTTCTCCAGTGTTGAGGACTCATGCATTCAGTGTTTATAGAGTGCACAGTATACTCCAGGCACTGAGCTAATTGCCAGCAATACCCGGTTGAACCAAACATAGCTCCTGCCCTCAAGGAGCCTGCCATTAGTTGGGAAGACACTGTGGGATCAGTACTGGGTGCTGCGGGAGCATCTCAGAGTAAGAGCCGACCGGCTTGGAGAATCAGGGGCTCCCCGAAAGAGGTGACGTCAAAGCTCAAGTTTGTTAGAGGACTGAGGGAGAGCGTTGCAAAGGGCCTTCTACGCTGAGGGAACAGCGTGGGTCTCAGCCCAAAGGAGAGACAGCGTAGGCTGTCGGGGTAAAGTCGCTGAAGCTGGGAGCTGAGGAGTCGAGGAAAGAGGGTGAGGACAAGCAGTCAGCTGGCCGGTCGCAGAGGACCTCAGAGGCTTCACAGTGGACCTGGGGTGGGGGGTTAAAGAAGAGCTATAGGCCATGCTCTGCCCTCCGAGTCAGAGGTCACTGCTGAGGTCACCCAGAGAGGTAAGTGTGGGCAGCACCAGGGCCAGGCTCGGCCCTCTTGCTGTGAAAGCTCACAGTTGCTCCCTGAGATGATTCATTCCCAGGTGTCCTCTGCCTCTGCCTCTGCCCCCACCCCACCCCAGCACCTTGTCCTCCCGCCAAAAGCTGTTTGCATTCAAGGGCTTTAACCTGGGCTAGATCTTGCTTAGAGGCATACAGGGCACACTGCCTGGCCATCCTGACCTGTCCGTGGAGCCACGAAGGTTAAGAATACCTCTTGGGAGGAGGCTGGCCTAGACCCTGTGATGAGGGTGTGCCCTAAGCTGAACACATGGGAAGCAGCAGAGGGCTGGCTGGCCTAGTGTGACCCCTTCATTCATTCTACCCAAAGGCTGCTGCGCTCGGCCAGCCTTTCACCGAGTTAGGTCACACCCTGTGGCCAAGCCTTTGCTCTGTCCGGAGTACCTAC